ATTTTTTCCCTATTAGTCTGTGCAAATACAAATGCATATCCTTATTGCATGTACAAAAAGCTGTACCATTTTTATGGCATACTTTTATATTTTATAACATGGCATACTGTATATACTCTGATAGATATATATGCTTAAAATCTTTACATATTGTAGTCATATCCTTATTGTGTATATGTGTAGTTTTATCTGTAGGATAAATTCCTAGAGTTGTAAATGCTTAAGTGTGCTCTCCAAAGGAGTGGTCTGGTTTTCACCCTACCAGCACTAGAGGGAAATGCCTGTTTTCTTGCAGTCTTACTAAAAGTATTATGTTAGACTTCTGAATTTTTGATAATCTGATAGAAAAGCGGCATCTTTGTGTAGTTTTAATTTGCATTTCTCTCCTTACATGTGTTTTTTCTGTGATTGTTCGTGTTCTGTTTTTCTGTTGGATTGTTACACAGTTGAATTTATCAGTGTTTTCTTTTATGGCTTCTGGATATCGATTCATACTAAGTAAGTCTTCCACATTCCAAATATATAAAGGAATGAAGCTTTATTTTTCTGTACCTTTTAATATTTGATGTAATATCAATTTTTGTTTTATAATTTATCTTGAAATATGTGAGGCATAGATCCAATTTTTCACTTCTCTTTCTAAAGACACTAATACTGTATTTAAGTCTTCATTTGCATATTTAGTGATTTGAAATGACTTCCTTATACACTGGCTTTTCATTACTCTGTTGATATTTAGTGCTCTATTCTTAGATTAATAGCAGCATATAGGTATGCTTTAATGTCTAGAAAGTCTGCCCTCCCCATTGCTTATGTCATTTCCTGTATGAAAATGGAAATCATTTTCTGCAATACAAACAAAAAATTTATTAAGCTTGTATATTTTCTAGGTAAAATGACATTTTTGTGCTGTTGAGTCTTGCCATTGAAGAAGTTGCCTTGGCTATTTGTTTAGGGCTACTTTTGTCTCTTAGACATTTTAGAAGACTTCATATATACTTATATGTCACTTTTTAAAATTTTTCTAAGTATATTTTGTTGTTTTTCTATTGCATAGTTTTCTCATTTCCCTTTATACTTTGTAACTGGTTCTTGCTTATACACACCTAACTTCTTTGTCAAAACTTCTTTGTCAAAACATCTAGTGTCTTCTGGTAGTGGTCTTGGCCTAAACTGTCTGCATCTCTTGCCTCTCCCTTACATGGGCCCTGCATTCTTACCATTAGACATGCTTTTTAATTTTATAGATGTTTTCAGTTCTCATTTCTTTGTGATTTCAGTTGCTTCTCCCTAGGATTATCCTTTTTTTTTTTTCTGGTTAACTTTTTCTGTTACCTTTACTCTGGAAAACCTTTCTTCACACCTCCTCAGCTTTTCTTCTTACCACAGTGATACAAGGTCTTTTTTCCTTTGTTTCCGAAGTACCCTGTGGTTTGGTTTGTATTTTCTGTTACCCTTAGTGCTTTTACTGCTCTTTCTCCTCCATCTACACCTGCACTGTCCATACAGTACATATGAGTCACCTGTGTTAGTGTATGGTACATGGTAAAGTGGCTGTCTCATTTGGGTATGTTGCTTAAGTTAATTACACAATTAAAACTAAGTTCACCTGTTTTATTTTACCTTTTTAAAGATAGCTAATAGAAACCATGAAATTGCTGTGGCTTATTTTATTTCTATTGGACAGTGCTACCCTAGACCTGAAGTGCTCATGGACTGTGTTCCTTACAGGATGCTTGCTATGTCAAAAATGTTCATTAAATGAAGAGGAATTTTACATTAAACTAAGTTACATTTGGAAACATTTTGACTTTTAAAAATAAGTCAATGGGCTGGCGAGATGGCTCAGTGGTCTAAAGCACCTACATGGAACAAGCTTGGCAAAGCACAGGGACCACGGTTCGATCCCCCAGCACCACATGCCAGCCAGCCTCGCCCCCTGGTGGGCTGAGCTGGCCACACACACACACACACACACACACACACACACACACACACACAATAAAAAAAAAAATGTTTAAAAAAAAAAAAAAAGTCAAAATGTACTTCCCTATATTTTCTTTGCTTCTTAAAATCATGGCCATTTAATTTCATTTTGTGTCAAGTTTTAAAATATAAATATTTTAATAATCTTTGTTTCCTGGGAACAACTGTGTGTTTTTCTTTTGAGACTTAATTTTAACCTTAATTGATTAGCAGGTATTATCTTATCCTTGTGTAGATTTTTGTTAATTTGTTTTGATCTTATCCTTTTGTGTTTTTACTCTGGATCCTACCTTTATAAAATTACTCAGTTTAGAAGTGTATGCTGATATATGAAAATGTTGCTTGTTACCAAATGATTTGACTCTTGTTTTTCATTTCTCTCCAGTTTTGGAAATATGATTTATAAAGAGAAGCGAGAATCTGTTAGTAAAGAAGACCTGGCAAGAGCTACTTTAGTTACTATCACCAATAACATTGGTTCTGTGGCACGAATGTGTGCTGTAAATGAGGTAAAAAAAAAAACTGTTTATGAAGATTGAAATATGTTGCACTAAACTCCAGAACTCATGAAATATATGTTGTATACCAAATTGTTTTATTAACTTTATTTATTTATTTTTTTTTAATTTATTTATGTGTGTGTGTGTTGCCAGCTCAGCCCACCAGGGGGCGGGGCTGGCTGGCATGTGGTGCTGGGGGATTGAACCGCGGTCCCTGTGCTTTGCTAAGCTTGTTCTGAGTAGGTGTTTTAGACCACTGAGCCATCTCTCCAGCCCTTTATTAACTTTAAAGTAGCAAGTAATCCAGATTTAAATAGGACAAATGCATAATTATCAGAGACCTTTTGAAAATACACAACTTATATCTCTTCAGTATGCAAAAAATTCTGAGCATAATACATTTTGATCTGAGTAATTTTTGAAAATGTTTGTTTTGCAGCTGAGTCTCAAAATGTAGTCAGGCAGGCCCTGAGCTCCATATACAGCATGGGTGATCCTCCTTTGTTATTTTCATTTTCCTTTTTTTACCATTAGTGTGATTAGTAAAATGCGTGGGAGTTTTCTTACTGCCCTCGGCTTCTTTACAGTGCTGCCTTGTTGCATATGGATCAAGCAGCATTGTACAGGGCTATGAAGGCATTGAGACTTATTCTTCACATATATGAATGACATATACTACTTTTTTTTGTTTTGTTTTTAACTTCTTACTCTTACGAAGAGCCTAGTGCCTACCTGGCAGACATGAGATCTTGCAATTTCAGTACTTAAAAAATAAAGTTTGAAAAGCATACACTGCTGGATTGACTGTATAGCTTAGTAAAGGATATATGTAATTCACCTATACATATTATTTTCCATTTAATTTTTGCAAATGTCAGGTGCTTCAGAGGGGTTGGGAACTTCTTGAAGGAACCATTCATTTGTTCTTTCAGTCATGTATCAGTAAATATTAATATGTACTACATAGTAAATGTAACCTTTTAAAAAAGGAAAATCAAGAGTACTAGGACTAGTGCAGAGGGTTGCAGAGACAAATCACAAAGAATGGTTAGAAGAAGGCGTTATTGAAAATATGGCACCTATTCTAGAAAGTCCTTTTTTGCATTAATTACATAGTAAAGGACTTAAATCCTGCCAATATCTGGTTCTTAAATTTTTATAAAAATCTTCTAAATGAAATTTTTAAATCAGAAGGAAAGAAAAATAAAAGTAAGTATATTTTTATTCAGCAAAGATTTGAGAGGAACTGGGCATGCAGGTGATCAGGGGAGAAGCTGAAGCACAGAGCACCAAATGTCTTAATCACAGGTGGTGAACCAGTTGGTTAATGAGATTTAGGAAGTAGTCTACTTTGAGGACAGACAGTAACTTGGGACTTTGGTTCTTAGCTCTGTAGGTCTTAAAATTTCCACTGACCAGTTGAATTACCAGTAATTAAGCACATGGCTTACGTTACCCAAATGCTTGTATAAAGATATATACTCAGAAATCAACGTACTTCTCTGTAGGCAGGGACAGGAAGATTGCTGTGAGTTCAAGGCCAGCCTGAACTATAAAGTGAATCCCTTTCTGTAAGAAAAAAAAAAAAAAAAAAAAAAAGTCAATGTATTGTGAGAATAGGAGTACGTTTTCTAATTGAATACCTCATCTAAGATTTCCTAATTATAGGAATACCTGAGCATCAAAATTAGTGTCTGTGGAATCTTAGCTGAGGGAAAATGGCTTTATGGTCATGCTATGGAGGGAAATAGGGCTGATGCACATGGACTGCTCTACTTGTTGTCAACATGCCTTACAATATACTGGGCACATTTATAGTTTATCTTAAGTGTATTTTAAAATATTTGGGGCTGGAGATAATAGGTCAGTATAAAGCCTATGCATAGCATGTATGCAGTCCTGGCTTCATTACCCAGCATCAGAAAAAAATCCACATATCTGTAATCTTTGCTAGAATCTTTCTAAAACTTTTTAAAGTAGACTTTTTTTTTTTTTTTTTAAGAACAGTTTTTAAAAATTTACACTGTAGTAAACCCAAATGGAAAGTTGAGTTCCCAGGTGTACCCCCCTTCCCCCCTTCCATTCCCCTGTTGTAATCCCCCTCTCCAAAGAGTGATGCAGTTGTTTAGAGTTTATGAACCAGTATTGACCCATCACTCACAGAAGTCCATACACAGGAGCAGTATTTACATTAGAGTCCACTGTATGCATACTATGGGTTTTGGCAAATGTATAATGACCTGTCCAATGCTGATTTGTTTGTGGTGAAATTGAACATAGAGCCTTACAGGTGCTCAGTAAAGTGTTCTATCACTGAGCTAAAGATCTAGCTCTATGTTTTTTGGGTATTATATGAGTCCTTTGTACTGTGAAATTGATTTAATAATTCTTTTACAAGTTTTTTCTTGGTTCTTTTCTTCTAGAAAATAAACAGAGTTGTCTTTGTTGGAAACTTTTTACGTGTCAATACTCTCTCAATGAAACTTTTGGCATATGCACTGGATTATTGGTCAAAAGGTCAACTGAAAGCATTGTTTCTAGAACATGAGGTATGACAAAAATGTTCAATGGATTATTTAATAGCATGCTTTTAGATGCAAATTTTATATGTTGCTTCCTCCTTATAAGTAGAAAACTGAATTACTTAGTTAAGTAGAATATTGTTCCTTCATTTGTTTTTTTTAAATAATTTTATTGAGAAACAAATAGCAACGAGACAGTTTCAAAACCGATTACTAGCACAGTTTCAATAATTAATACATTGCATATTGTTGTCTTAGTGGTTATTCATTGTACTAGATACAGACATGATATCCTGTCTCAAACACTATTAGAACAAATCTCTCTATTCATTGAATTAAGAGAATACAGCTGTGTATCTGTCCTAACTATTTTGATCATTTCAGTTTCTGTTGGGGAAAGAGTGTTACTATAACCTGGTGGGCACCTCAGTGAGAGCATTTTTATATCTCTTCTGACCAAGAGAGCGATGGGAGGTCTCTGAGCTTTTCAGATACCTAGGGCTGTTTATGTGCTTAATGGGTATGCTTAGAACTGTGCCTCTGCCCTCTCTCATTTAAAAATAATAAATATGGACAACACAAAAATAGGTAGTTCTGCCAAAATTCATCTCCCTACAGTCCCATCGAATTCTGTTGTAGGGGTTTTTTTCCCCTGTTTATTACATGTAGTTAAATTCTAATCTGAACAATTAGCAGTGCACGTAAATATTTTGAGTTAAGTAAATTTTTACCTTGAATTATTTTTTATTCAGTAAAAGGGAGAGGGTGTGATTGCTGCAATAGTCTTCCAAGGTGCCTATGTACATTGAGAGTGCAATATAAGAAAAATATTCACAATGCGAGAACATTAGATAGGATATCCAAATAAATGTTACTAAACAAATACAGGTATATTCTTAATAAATGGTTAATATTGAATGGTTATTTAAAAGCTGCATTGTACTGATCATTTTTTAAAAATCACACAGGGGTACTTTGGAGCAGTTGGTGCTCTTCTTGGGCTGCCAAATTTCAGCTAAGGTATCAAATTTCTCTGCTAATGTCATAAAAGAAGCTGAGACTGGAGACATTTACCACTGCATTGTTTGTCACTGGGAACCAAAGGATAAAAGTAGCATTATTCTTGTTGTTTTCAAATGTCAAGATGGTAAGCTCATGAGTATTGTACTACTAAAAATGAGAGCTGTATAACATGTGAAGTGTTTCTCATTGAAATGTTTTTCCTTTTGTATATAGCCAGTGTTAAGTCTCTTAAGTGTAGTCTGTCCTCTGGTTATGAAGCTTTCTCTCAAAAAGATTTTCTGTTCATTTTATGTAGTCAACATTGCAGTACTGTATATTCAATCAAATCTCAAAAAGTACAAGAAGCGGGGCTGGGGAGATGGCTCAGTGGAATAAGTGCTTCCTTGGCAAGCACAAGGGTCTGAGTTCAATCCCTGGTTCCGCCAAAAAAAAAAAAAAAAAGTACAAGAAATGTTTTACGAAAAATAATTGATTCTGAGTATTTGTTACACGTTTGTTTTATGTGCATTTTGGTCACTTGTGAGCAAACAGAAACATACTCTGTATCAACATTTATTGTAATGGCAATCAGAAATGATCGTTTTATGTGATTTTAGAAATGTGAAGGAGTTATTGTAGTTTTTCTAACATACCCCCTCAGAAGAGCATGTTTATATCTTTGCCTAGAAATAAAACTTTTCTCAAATGCACAATTTAATTGAACATAATAGTTTAACTGCAATACTATTGGTGAATGTTAGCCTGAATTTTAAAATGGCTAGAAAACGCACATTTGTTAACACTACACTTTTCTGTATTTTGTGAATTGATTAACATGTGTTAAAAGGCTTAATACCTTTGAATTGCAGGTTTAATTATTTTGGAGTTTGTATAATAAGGTTCTTGGACTATCCAAATGGAATATGGTTTGTATGAATTGATGTTTCTTAGGTCTCAATTTGCGTATTTCTTCTCATTAATTAGATCTGAACCGTGGAAGCTAAGGGTTTGTTATTTGAACAGCAGCAACAGAGTCACATCTGTTCTAAATGAATGTTTTGAAACTTTGTAGGAGTCTGAAGCGGTGTTAACAGATTAAAAAGGATCAGTGTTTCATATATTCTAGTAATAAAAGCATTATAGTTCCAAAATTTGTAAATCCTTTTTTGTTTGAAATCTAGTCTCTGTTTTGAATTCATTTATAGGGGCTGGGGAAATGGCTCAGTGGAATAAGTGCTTCCCTGGCAAGCACAATGGCCTGAGATCAATCCCTGGTTCTGAAAGAAAAAAAATCATTTATAATGTTACAAAAATTTTCAGATTTTTACATTTACAGTAACATTTTGAGGTCTAGTATAATCAGTGAAGTTATTCAAGTCAGTTGCTGATGGTATAGGAAGTAGAAAGTCTGGGGAAGAAATTCACCTAAATTACCAGTCCATCTGGACGTACTTTAAAGAGCTTAACAATTGTTTACACTTCAAAGGAAGTATTACCCACATGTTGTTACCTGCTCCAGTGTTGCTCAGTAGAGAGCAGTTTTCAATAGACTTAGCAAAGGATAAAGACATTTCTCTATAGTTTTCTAGTCAAGTGTTTTAAAATTCAGTTTTCTTTACCTAAAGACATGAATATATAAATTACAGGATTGAGAATTTAAGGGGAAAAACATGTAAGGGTAATGGTTTATTGTTTAGACTACTTGGACCTTTGAATTCAGATTTCCTAGTAGCTATTGTATAAGCCTACGGTGACTTCACATATCCTGCTTTAAGATTTGTATGACAGTGAGTGGATATTGTAGCTGAAATACCATAGGTTCGTTTTGTTATAAATGTTTTTGATTTGGGTAATTATACAGATAAGAATTTATTGAATGATAGTAACTACAAATTTTATACCTGTGGTAAACTTACATTAGCAGTAAGCAGTCTATACATAATGTGGAATTATTGAATTAATAAGGATGTAGGATTGTAAAGAAAAAGCTGGCTGGTGGCACATGCTACTAACCCCAGCACTCTGGAAGGCTGAGGCACGGGATTAATGGGAATTCAAGGTCAGCCCACACTTCATAGTGAAGCCCTATCTCAAAAAGACCGAAAAGAAAAAAGATTAAAGAAGGCTACCAGGACTCTTTTTTTAATTTTGATCCTCAAGGAAATCCCTGAAAGAATGCTGTAATAAATAGGTTTAGTTCTGCAAGGTGTATCAGTAGTGGCATACTTGTAGCATGGATGCTGCAGCAGGCCGTTTATTACTTTGAAACTTCTAAAATATTAATCATCATTGGTCTGTGCTCTTGAACAGTGCCATCGTAAGAGGAATGAGATGTAAACTTCACATTTAATTTTATATTTACTAAGAAATGTATTGAATAAGCAAGTGACCATTGTTTTAATTATATATTTTAACCCAGTATATCCAGTATGTTATTTAATCAACACAAACTATTTGGAGATTTTTCACCTTTGTTTTTAAACCTTAGACTTCAAAACTAATTTATATTTTGCACTTAACACTGTATCTCAATATTGACTGATCACATTTCAGATGCTCAGTACCACTGTGTAAGTAATGGCTGCTGTAGTTCTTGGACAGCGCATTTCTAGAACTACCTCTCGAAAGTGAAGGCTATTCTGTGTTCATATAATCTTTCTGAACATGAACTTTTTAAAATTAAAATAACCTTATTTTTTAAATAAGGAATAAGAAATTGAGTTTGCTTTATGTAAACAAGGTATTTCTGACCATTCCTAAAATGTCTTGTGTTGGCATGCTATCATTTCAATGTAGTACATGTAATTTTTTTCACTGACACTGATAAAGTTGCCTGAGATACATCCTGACAGTTTCTGACAATCTCCAAATCATATTTCATTAACCAGCAAAGTAGATGATTGCACTGACTTCAAAAATTGTGGCTGAATTTTGGCTGATTTTAAAGGATTAAAAAAAGAAAACCCCATTGACCTCTAATACACTGACAGCGCCTTGGGGCTTTGTAAATAATGCCAGGTCTAGAACCACTACCACCACCACATCCCCTCAGAGATTGCCTTTACTTTTAGAGCTAGGGCTAAAAGTTCTGTATACCCACTTAATACTCAAACATGAAATATTACTGGACTTCTTGTAGCAACTTACTGTAACATGTAAGTTGACATGGTAGTTCATTGCTTGGCTACTCTTAAAATGTGTAGGAAAGTAGGTGGACTCTATTTGGATAAAGTCTGTGCTGTTGCTACTAATTTTTGGTAATGGAAAACCCATCAAGAAGTTTCTGTCATTTGCTAATATTAGACTCTTAAAACTTTCTGAGTTATGTACTTGAGAGTACATTTCTGTATTTTACATACCAGTTGGTGAAAGACCTGTCCTGTAAGCAGAATGCTAGAGCACAGTGAAGAGGTTTCCCTTTCTCCATTTGTATGTTTGCCTTCAAAGAGTAGTTCAGTGTATTTTGCCTTGATTTTTAAGGTTGCATTTTTGGGTGGAAAAACTTAGCCATCTAAATATCTTTTATAAGCAACTTTCATATCTGGAATAGTCTTTTTGTTTAAGCACTTTATGCTTTTTAGTGTACTGCATTTGAAAATGTAATTTAGAAATTCTAAGCCATGTGAAAGCTGATAAAGGGTAATGAAAATAAGTGTACATTATTTTGCATTTAACTTAACTATTTTGTGGTGTATGTAATCAAAACATATATTGCCTTGCTGTAATAATACTGTTTGACTTTATTTAAGATGATTGCCAAGAAATCTCAGCGATGTCTTAATTTCTAACCACGTTTATATTCTAGTGTATTTTATTTTAACACAAAATTCATCCAACTTTGTTTTTATCATCAGATAATCTTAGAAAATACACTTCATCTGTTTTTCAATATTTAAGAGAGTAATTATTTAAAATTTTCTGCTGATCCTACTTACGAGCTAAAACCCAAGACAGTTTATATTTTTTTCAAGTATTTTAGTAGCCCATTCAAAATAATGGTAAGGTAAAAAGTAAATCGTTCCACCTTTCTAACCCAACTTTTGAATGATTTCTGTGTTTAGAATTCAAGTGTTTTCTCAAAGCATTCCCTGTTGCATGCTTTATATTATCTGCTTCTGTATTTGTTGGATGTGGGCTTATAATTTGTTATTGCTTATGGCTTTTTGGTTTTTTTATGGTATGGGGTTTGAACTCAGGGCCTTGTTCATGCTAGGCAAGCACTGTACCACTGAGCTACATCCTTAGCCCTGATAGTGTTTCAGAAATAGAGCTGGTCCCTGGTCTGATTGCATTTGTGAAATGAATTGGATCATTACAGTGAAAAGTCAGGATCTTGAGAAAGACAGTTGCTTAGTTCTTGGCAATCTTTGGAATGATTAAAACAATATTTTCAAATATTTAGCCATGTTTCAGAATTTAGTGCTTATAATATTTTTATAATTACTACATGCTTTTTATTAATATGTTAATAGGTACTAAATTTTAAATTGTCACCAAGCCAGTAGAATGGTATTCATTATTCTCATTTTACTGCCTCTGAAGTAGATACACCTTATATGAAGGGTTTAAATATATATAAATGTGTGTGTACATTTGGGATATTTACTGTTAACTTCAAAATTATATGGGCATTACTGTAACTTCATTGGATGAAAAGACATGGTATTAAATTCATAGATGCTGAAATATTAGATATTTTAGAATTTTGGGGGTATCCCCTTTCAGCTGGTTTTGTTTTATGAATAGGAACAGATGTGGAATTATTTATTGCTTTTGTCCAACACACAATTCATGACAAAATTTATAAAACAAAAGTTTACATATAAATCAGTTGAAATAGATTCTTAATTGATATCAAACACTTTTAGGTGGCTGGGGAGATAGCTCAGTATAATGTCCTGGGTTCAATCCCTGGTACCGCCAAAAAAAAAAAAAAAAATTAAAACCTAAAGTACTTAGGATTTTGTAAGAATAATTAGACACTTGTCTGATAGTCATACTTTTTGCATATTTAAGGTACAGTAATGAGCTGATACTGAAATTTCAGGTACGAAATTTAGTTTTGAATGTTATGAGGGGAAGTTGGTTTTAAGAAAATCTAAAACTATATTTTGGCTCTTTTTGTAGTGAAAAAATTATTTTTCTTTTGAGTTTTTGTCTTTGGCTGTAACTGCCACTAATTTTACGTTCTAAAAAACTAAGGAATGTATTTTTTCAACCATGAATGAGGATGAAAATCAAAGAATTCAAATTGTGTAAATAGGAATCCAGTTCAATTTTAGAATATTTTTATGCTATTTTCTTTGAATACATATTGTTTATGTCTACTTTACAAATAGTAAAGCATAGGTAAGTGTAGTTTTTGATTGTTTTAACTTTGTATCTTGTATCTAAAACATCTGCATCCCATACCAATTCAGTCAGTAGTTACAGGATTACTAAGCCATTTTGAAATTTGCCATCTTTTTCTTAGTGGTCCCTTTCAGTTTTCAGCATTTTGAAAGAAAGGGTAACTGAAAACCTAACACCAATATCCTCGTCTTCTTGGAGCAAGTATATACGTAATGGTACTATGATATGAATGATAAGATGTTGCACCAGTTCTACACATTGTGTGCATTTATCTTTTATTTAAACTACAGTGAAACTGACATTTTAACTGAAGTTGAATGAATTCTGCCTGACCAAATCATGTCTAAAAGATGTTTTTATGTCCCAATCTAGGCAGTCATTTAAATTGGGGGTTAATTTTATATATGCTGTTTTCTTAACTCAGTTGCATTCTTATCACGTCTAAGCTTTGTCATGTCTGAATTTTTCTAACATTGAATCTGTGATATAAAAAATGTATGATGTGCTACAAATTTTATGCATAGTGAGCTAAGTTATAGCCTATGTAGCCCATAAAACATTTCTTGTAAATTACCTAATTTATTTTTCCATTTCTGTACAGTTTCTTATATAAATTTTTAACATGTTGTGACCCATTCTGTCAACATTTATATACTATTTTCTTTATGCTTATTTGCATGAGAGAAACTTGGGTTTTGTTTGTATAGCGATTAAGCCAATTTTAATAGCTGCCTTTTCTGTAGTTTAACTTTTCTAATTTTGTTAATATTTTAAATAAATGTTAGAATCATACTTTTTATTTCCTACTTTCCAAATAAATTCTAAGTTGTTTACTAATGTATTTCATTATTTATTTATTCTACAGTTGTCCATATTTCCACTCTGACTAAATTAAGGTTTTGATTTTCACTGAAACTAACTATAATAGAGTGTAAACTCCATGAGAGCAAGGACTTCATAAAGACTTGTCCACCTTTGTATCTCCAATACCTGGTACAGAGGAGGCACTCAATAAATAAATACTTGCTGAATACTAACTTTAAAGTGTCCACTATCTAATCTGACTATATAAGGTAGAAGTACTAGTTTTTTCCACCTGTTTCAAATACCAGAAACACAGATGTTAGTCCCTTGGAGATTCATACTTACATGAAATTTATTATTTATGACGTAGAGGTTTAATCTCTTGAAATGAAGCTAAAATAAATGTCGACAAGAGTGGTTCTGAGAGAGTTGGTCCTGCCAAGACACACATGCTATTTTATTCAGGTCTTTCTTGAGACAGGGTCTCCTGCTATGCAACCCAGGCTAGCCTTCAATTCATTATGTAGCCTATGATCCTCTTGCCTCAGCTTCTTGAGTGCTGGAATACAGGCATTCACCACCACACCTGGCTTATTTATTTTTCTACTTAGTGCCTGTCAAATTTAAAAATGTTGAAAAAATTGAAGAAATGCAAAAAGGAACCCCTCTCCATTGTTAATATAGACTGGTGCAACTACTACAAAAATCAGTGTGGAG